TGTAGCCCCCCCACCGGGACAGCCCTTGTGCAGGCCAGACGCAGACATGCTTCTTCCGTAGTTCAGCAAAAAAGCTCCCAAAGGGAGCTGGCACACACACGGGGGGTTTTCCCGCCACATGCATCACGTGTTCCGGGGTGGACACCCCCATCCCCTCAGTTCCTTTTTCCCCGCCGTGAGGACAGGGTGTCTTTCATACCGGCTCCATGACTGCTCCGTGTGGTTCTTTAAAAACCCCAACCCTGTTCATTGACTCACTTCAGTGCGTCTCCTTCACCGAAGCTCTCCTCAATTGAAAAAGGGGTTTTCCCCCGATTTCAGTTTGGTTTTGGGTCGACAACGCCAAGGTGCCTTTCAAAAAGTGGGCTCCGTGCAACACCAAGATGACACACAGTGATGACCATCAACTGTGCCTCTTGTGCCTTGGTGAGTCGCATAAGATTCTCCTGCCAGGGTTCTTCCCCACGCTCCGTGCTGATGTGGAATTGGCCCTTCACACACGCTAGACGTGAGGTGAGCACTGCTGTATTATTTAAATAGAACCAGACCTTTTCAGAAGGACAGAGCTTTTATCTATTCGTTACTGGGGTCTCAAGAAGGGCAGAGCCACTTCATCTCAGTCTTTTTCAAGATGGGTGGTGGCAGCCATCCGTTCTTCTTCCAAAAGGACGGGACAGCAATCTCTGCTCAACGTGGCAGCGCACTCCACTCAGGCGCAAGGGGCCTCACCTGCTTTCCACCGTGGCGTTCCACTGATGGACATATGCAAGGCAGCTACCTGGGTGACAGAACATTCTTTTGTTAGATGCCACGCCTCCGACCATCGGGCGAGGAAGGATGCTCCTGTGGGCAAGGCCAGTGAGAGCCTCCGTTCGATGGTCAACTAGCTAATGGTCCCGGTGTGGGGCGGCACTAGAAGACAGAAAATAAAAACAGGGTTGTACTTACCTGTACCTGCTGTTCATCGACCTCTTCTGTGCAGACACACGTCCCCTCCCTCCCACCCCACCGTTACAGGTAAGTGCAACTCTGTCTTCTGAAACACCTGTGGCTCTTTTTCAAGCAAGTGCCCACGGAAGCCTCAAGAGGCGGGGCTGCCTGGCGGAGTCTCTCCTCCGTCTCTGGACCACGTGCCCGCAGGAGGGCATATCTCCACTGGGGTGGCTCCCGCTGCCGTAACACGGGTGCATCTCTGGAGGCAAAAAGTGTCCAGAGTCGTGTTTTGGGGCCTGAGGAGGTTTGCTTGATTAGTTGACTGCCACACCCCTGTTTGATCGGCTGAGGTTTCCGGAGCTGGGTGCCTGCCCGCTGGTCATCCTCATAGAGATGGGCGGCCGCCTTCTGAGGAGTGTGCCCTGGACTGACCGACAGCCTCTTAGCTTCCTGCTCTTTGAGTTCTCCTCCTCGTCATCCTCTCTCTCTCTCTCTCTCCCCATCGGCACGCTTCTCCCCCAAGCAATGGGTTCCCAGGGTGCTTGTGGCCCCTGTTTCACAGGCTTTGCTCCGCTGGGCCGCCCCTGCCTCTTTTGGCAGTTTCCTCCTCTCCGCCGGCTGCTCCTTGAAGAGCCACAGTGCAGTTTCCATGGAAACAGTTATGTCGTCCCCGGCTAGCAGCCTTTCCGAAAGGATTGAGCGTGCAGCCAGCAGCAGGTGATTTCCTGCGCCTGGGTTCTCGCTGCCATGGCCTCCAAGCATCCACCCTGCATTTTTGCAATTAGGCGGCTGGAGGAGAAGCAGCTGCATCCCCCTGCTCCTCGGCGGCCCGTTCCTTGTCCGGGAACAGAGGCGGGAGGCAGAAGTGGCAACTGCTGCCTGAGAGGCAGGGAGGCAAGTGGGGAAGGGCAGGCCTGGCCCCTGGGGAAAAGAGCTCATGCCAGGATCCGTGCCGTTCGTCTTTAAGGTGCCCCTTGGCTTCTGCTTTCGTTTGTGCCTTCCACCAACGCATTCCCCCCGGCACGGTCCCACTGGCCCGGGTAGCATCCCGCTTGGATTCCTGGCACCAGGGCTTTTTGGGTAGCAAAAGCCCAGCAGGAACTCGTTAGCATAATAGGCCACACCCAACAGCAGAAACTCATTGGCATATTAGGTCACACCCCTGACAGCATAGCTCATTAGCCTATCAGGCCACACACCTCCATGCCTTCCCTTGGCTTGCCCGGGCAAGCCAGCCTTTGGACAGGCTGGGGAAGGCACGGGGAGGCATTTGAATGCCTCCCCGGTCCTTCCAGGGGCCCCCTGGCCCACCCACCTTGGAGTCGTAGTGGGGGCGTCGCTCTCCAGGCCTTCCCCCTGTAGCCAGGCACGCAGCGGTATTGGCTGTGGTGGGCGTGGCCAACTCTGAAGCCAGCCGGAACTCCATTCCTGCCTGGCGCCCAGAGACTGTTGGGGAGTCCCGTGGATCACAGGCAGGGCAGCTGGGGCTGAAACGGCGTGGGGCTCGGCCGTGGCTCGGGAGCAGAGCACCTGCTTGGCCTGTGGGAGAGGCCCCAGGCTCCATCGGCAGCACTGCCCTCCAGTGTGTAAAAGGAACGGGTCGTAGGGGATGGGAGAGACCCCTGGAGAGCCACCGCCAGTCCGAGGGGAGAGTCCTCCTGAGTCAGCAGAAGGCAATTTCACGTCTTCAGACTGAAGCCTGACATGGAGGGCATCCCGTTCCAGGGCTGCTGCCTGCAAACCAGCTTCTGTGCCCAGCTGCACCCGGGGCTGAGGGGCCCTTGGAAACACGGGGCAGCTTAGGTCCTCCTGAAGCCCCCGAGCCGGCACACGTTCCAAAGGGGCTCCTGGTTGCTGGCTCTGCATGCCCACAGGGACGGAGGTGCGACTGGCAGATACTTGGCGCGGGCCTTTTTCATCAGTGGACCCTGGGGCGGGCTGAGTGTTTTTGTGCTCTTGCTGGTCCCTGGCTGTCAGATTTCCTTTTTTTTTTTTTAAGTTTTGAACTTTGATAATCTTACTCCGTTTTTAGCTTTGCTGATTCCAAGTTCTTTTAGCTGTTTTAATAGCCAAAAGATGAGGTATAATGTCCTAAATAAATGAAGCCACACAATCATAGACTCACAGAGTTGGGAGGGACCTCCGGGGTCATTTAATCCAGCACCCTGCACAATACAGGAAATTCACAAATACCTCCCCCCCCCAAGCCCCCAGTGACCATGCCCAGAAGATAAAAAACCTCCAGGATCCCCAGTCAAACTGGCCTGGAGAAAAATGGCTTCCTGACCTCAAACTGGCAATCTGCATGTAAGAAAGAGCCACAAGAACTAAGCACTGAGGCAACCCTCCCTGCCCTCCCTCTTATGATCTGCCCAAGTTCACAGAATCAGCATTGCTGTCAGATGGCCATCAAGCCTCTACTTGAAAACCTCCAAAGAAGGAGAGCCCACCACCTCCCGAGGAAGCCTGTTCCACTGTCAGGAAGTTCTTCCTAATGTTTAGCCGAAAACTCTTCTGATTTAATTTCAACCTGTTGGTTCTGGTCCAACCTTCTGGAGCAACAGAAAAGAACTCCGCACCATCCTCTATATGGCAGCCCTTCAAGTACTTGAAGATGGTTATCATATCACTTCTCAGTCGTCTCCTCTCCAGGCTAAACATACTCAGCTCCTTCAACTTTTCCTCATAGGACTTGGTCTCCAGACCCCTCACCATCTTCATTGCCCTTCTCTGGACATGTTTCATCTTGTCTAGATCCTTCTTAAACTGTGGTACCCAAACTGAACACAGTACTCTAGGTGAGGTCTAACCAGAGCAGAGTAAAGTGATAACATCACTTCACATGATCTGGACACTATACGTCTGTTGATACAGCCCCAAATGGCATTTGCCTTTTTAGCTACCGAATCACACTGCTGACTCATGTTCAGTGTATGGTCTGCTAAGACACCTAGATCCTTTTTGCACCTACCAGTGCCAAAGCAAGTCTCCCCCATCCTATAATTATAAATTTGATTTTTTCCTACCTAAATGCAGAACTTTACATTTATCCCCATTGAAATTCATTTTAGTTGTCTTAGCCCAGTTTTCCAGCCTGTCAAGGTCATCCTGTATCCTAACTCTGTCTTCTACCATATTTGCTACCCCTCCCAATTTAGTATCATCTGCAAATTTCATAAGCATTCCCTCTATTCCTTCATCCAAATCATTGATAAAAATGTTGACCAAAGCAGGTCCCAGGACAGATCCTTGAGGCACTCCACTTGTCACTTTTCTCCAAGCAAATGAGGAACCATTCACAAGCACTCTTTGGGTCAAATCTGTCAACCAGTTACAGATCCATCTCACAACCATAGGATCCAAACCCCATTTTACCAATTTGTCAACAAGAATATTATGTGGAATCTTATCAAAAGCCTTACTGAAATTAAGATAAACTATGTCTACAGCATTCCCCTGATCCAGCAAGATAGTAACTTTTTCAAAAAAAGAAATAAGGTTAGGCTGACATGACTTGTTCTTGAGAAACCCATGTTGGCTCTTAATAATCCCAGCCATCCTTTCTAATTGCTCAAAGACGATTTCTTCTAAAACTTTCCCAGGTATAGACGTCAAGGTAGTTCCCCGGATCCTCCTTTTCCCCTTTCTTGAAGATGGGGACAACATTTGCCCGTCTCCAGTCTTCTGGCACCACACCTGTTCTCCAAGAATTCTGAAAAATAATGCACAGAGGCTCAGAAATTACATCCGCAAGTTCTTTTAGTACCGTTGGATGCAGTTTATCTGGCCCTGAGGACAGTTTCATGTAAAGAAACTAGGTGTTTTTGTACTACCCCTATGTCAATCCTAGGCTGCAACTCCCTTCCCTCATCATGTGTTCTGTTTTTGCCATGTTGAGCACCATTTCCCTCGCAAGAGAAGACTGAGAAAAAGCAGTAATTGAGCAGTTCTGCCCAGAAGGGAAAACCTCACATTCATCTTTGGTCTTGTGTGCAGGCACTCATGGGCCTGCTGTTATGGAGAAGAACTTTCTGGTTCTAGAACACTGAGCGGATGCCCCTCCCTAGGAAGCATGCATGATGTTTCCCTGCTGAAACCTCCAGGTGCTCTGAGAGGGAAGCACCTCTTCTCTCAGTTCTCCTGAAATGCCACAAGCTCCAAAGAGAAGAACAAAAACACAGAGAGCTCACAGCGGGGCAGGAGGTACAGATGTGCGCCTGCACATAAGTCACTCAATGAACAACAGTTACCGGTCAGGGCAACCTTGTTTTCATAATCAGCCTTTTGTGCAGTCCCACACTGGGAGTCTGTCAAGTTCTCCGTGAAATAAAGAGAGAAGGAAGACTGAGGAAAGGGGGCACTTTCCCCTTGGAGCACACGATGGATTACAGGAGTTTAAAATGTAGTATTTGCTGCCAGAGGCATAGACATCTTTGAAAGGTGATTAGACAGATTCATGGAGGAGAGGTCAGTGGCTACTAACCATGGTGCCT